AAGACAAATAACCCAATTAAAGAATGGTCACAGGACATGAACAGACACTTCACCAAGGAGGAGATCCGGGAAGCCAACAAACATATGAAGAAAATGTTCATGATCACTAGCCACTAGAGAGATGAAAATCAAAACAACAATGAGATATCATCTCACACCAGCAATAATAGCAAAGATCAAAAAAGTAGAGGACAATAAATGCTGACTAGCATGTGGAGAGACTGGGATGCTCCTGCATTGCTGGTGGGATTGCAAAATGGCCCAACCTCTCTGGAAAGCAATATGGCACTTTCTCAGAAGGTTGGAAATAGAAATACCTTATGATCCAGAAATTCCTCTACTTGGTATTTACCCACAAGAAATATGAGTCATAACACATGTAGATATATGCACACCAATGTTCATAGCAGCACTATTTACAATAGCAAAAAGATGGAGACAGTCTAAGTGCCCATCAACTGAAGAATGGATAAACAAACTGTGCTACATACACACAATGGAATATTATGCTACCTTGAAGCACAACAAGTAAGCTGTAAGCTACCATATAACATGGATGAACCTTGAGGACATTAAGTTGAGTGAAATTAGTCAGTCACAAAAGAAGAAATACTGCATAAGACACCACTACTGTAAAAGACTAAGAAAAAAAACCCATACTAAAAGGAGTGTGTATGACTCTGCTTGTTATGGGCATAAGAGTGGTGGGTTGAGGGGAAGGAGGTGAAGGTGGAACACAGGGTAGGGAATAGACACAGGATAGTTTGGGTGCTGGGGAGGGGAATGGAGGAACAAGGCAGATGGGAGAACAGTTAAGCAGGTTTGCATGGACTAAATGAGACAAAGGTAAATAATGATGTATGTACAACCTTAGAACAACAGGGCTCTAGGATACAGGGATTGAGGCATAGTTGGAATGGGCAAAAGGGGGGAAACAATGTTAAGATGCTTGGCTCTCTTTTGAATCTTGGTATTCCTTGCATACCATTATAAAATAGACACTTGAGGGGAAGAGAAAAAAATAGCCAGAAATATCACCATAGAAAGCTTGGAAGTCCATCTTCTGCCTATAACTGATTGGAATACTAAAATGGGCCTACAGCTTGTCCTGTGAAGGAGGCTTCCTGTGGAGCCTCTGCATTGCATAAGACCATTGGTGAAATCCTGAACTGCATCCAGAATCTTCTGAGGTGGGAAATTTCCACTTGAAAGGACAAGAAGAACAGCCTGGAGTGGCTAAAATAACAGAAGAAACTTCTTGAAAGAAAGACTGACAGGAAAAATACAAAACAATAATGGCATTCCAACTGACTACTACAAGAACAAGCAAGTTGCCTGCCCAGGAGATAGCAAGGCAAGCGGTTGGGTCCCCTTAGGGTAAACCCCCTTCTAAGACTAAGACTCAGTGGGAATACACATGCAGACAAGTGCTCTGACTGGTGACCATGTTGGTCACCGATAAGGGTAAGTGAGGGAAAAACAATAATGAAGCTGCGAGCTGAGTCCTACCACGTTCAATAGAGTCCTGTGAACTCGGGTGGAGACCCGGTTGGCCAGCAGTGTGGGAAAACCTGGGGACTCCTGGGCCCAGAGTCAGTGACATAGCCACAGAGGACTAGAGTAGAGAATGAAGCATTCAGTTAATAAGAAGAGAGGGCAAATACACAAGAACACCCACACTTGTAGATGATACCCACTTGACCTGGCTTCAATGGCTGGATGATCAGAGCTCAACTAGAAAAAGAAAGAAGAGGAATAAAAGAGTAATCTGATATAATTTGATGAACTTGATCTACATCTATGAATGCAGTAGCTCAAAAGAGGGAACAAATCTTTACAGAGAGGAACATTCCCATCCCCTCAATACACAGGGTGAACAGGGATGGGAAACTTGGACATTGGTTACCCCAAATGGGGGGTGGGCTACAAAGGCAAGAAGTGACCGGCTTACAAGCTTTCAAGAGGGAGCCTAGATCTGGGTGGGACTGATGAAAGGAGATGGGGATAGCACTCATGTGCTACAATAGTGAATAATTACTATCAGGACTAACTATGAGGGTTGAAAATGTAAAGGTAGCCATTTTGTAGCAAAAGGAGGGGAGTGGTTGACTTTGCAGTCCAGGACCGGAGGGCCCTGGGACCATCAAGGGAGAAGAGCAGAGTGCAGGACCCTACCCAGAGAAATAGTGATGCCAGAGATGGAGGCAGAGACGATGACGTGGAGAGATGAGTGGCTGGGAACTCTAGACCCAGAGAGGGAGAGGGGCTGTGTGCTGATGACAAGGGGGCAGGATTGCAGGGGTGTACCCTTTGGTTGGCTGATGATGCATGGAGGGGATTGTAACCATGGCAATGAAATGATATATGATAGGATGAATGTAAAGCTAATGTTCTCCCATGAAAACTATCACATAATTAACAATAAAACATTAAAAAAAGAAAGAAAATGGAAGGTATACACAGAGGCACTGTACCAAAAAGAAATGGATGATATTCCATCATTTCAAGAGGTAATATATGATCAACAACCCATGGTAATGAAGGAAATCCAAGTTGCATTGAAGGCATTGGTGAAAAACAAGGCACCAGGAATTGATGGAATGTCAATTATAATGTTTCAACAAACTGATGCAGCACTGGAGGTGCTCATTCATATGCCAAGAAATTTGGAATGTATTTCAAAGAGCGGTGACCCAATGCAAAATTGAAGTCATCAAGCAATATCATTAATATTAATGCAAGTAAAATTTTATTGAAGATAATCAAAAAATGACTGGCCCAGTACACCAACAGGGATCTGTCAGAAATTCAAGCCAGTTTCAAAAGAAGGCATGGAATGAGGGATATCATTGCTGACACCAGATGGTTCTTGACTGAATGCAGAGAATATCATAAAGATATTACTTGTGCTTTATTGACTCTCAAATGGCTTTTGACTGTGTGGCTTATGACAAACTCTGGATAATATTGTGAGGAATGGGTACTTCACAATACTTAATTGTGCTGTCTCCATTTTTTTGCATCTCAATGTAAAGAAAACAACAATCCTCACTACTGGACCAATAAATAACATCATGATAAATGGCGAAAAGATTGAAGTTGTCAAAGACTTCATTTTGTTTGGATCCACAATCAACACTTGTGGAAACAGCAGTCAAGAAATCAAATGATATATTGCATTAGGCAAATCTGCTGCTCAAGACCTCTTTAAAGTGTTTCAGAGCAAAGGTAACAGTTTGAGGACTAAGGTATGCCTGACCCAAGCTGTGCTATTTTCAGTTGTCTCATATGCATGTGAAAGTTGGGCAATGAATAAGAAGACCGTAGAAGAATTGCTGCATTTGAGTTATGGTGTTGGAGAAGAAGATTGAAAGTATTCTTCTCCAACACCATATATTCTTCTAGACTGCCAGAAGAACAAAGAGGTCTATGGTGAAAGAGGTACAGCCAGAATGCTCCTCGAGGCAAGGATGGGGAGATGTCATCTCTCATACTTTTGACCAGTACTAGAGAAGGACATTGTTGTTAAGTGCCATCAAGTTGGTTCTGACTCATAGTGACCCTGTGTAAAGTTTCCAAGGAGCAACTGATGAGCTTGAACTGCTGACCTTTAGGTATAAAACAACTTTGCAGTCCAGTGCATTAACCCACAGTGTCACATGAGGACCTTATGCTTGATAAGTTGGTTGTTCTGCAACAAATAGGACAACCCCAAACGAGATGGATTAACACATGGCAGCAGCAATGGGGTCAAGAGTAACAATTGTGAGGATGCTTCAGGACTGGGGAGTGTTTGGTTTTATTGTGCAAAGGGTCGCTATTAGTCAGAAATGACTCAACAGGACCTAACAACAACAATAACAAGAACAACCTTTGAACAAAGTCCTGGCGGTCTACTTCAAAAAACTCAGCCACTGAAGACTTGATGGATCATCGTCTACTCTGACACACACACGAGGTTACCATGAGTCAAAGTCAATTCTTTGGCAACTGGTTTACTGGTCATTCTGTAAATTTTTGCTGCTGTTATCATCATCATCATCATCATCAACATTTCCCCTCTTGGTGATCATAGGTCTCTAGGTTCCCTGGTTTCCTCTATCTCTGTCTACTAAAATATGACACTAAGTAAAACAGTGTGGTGCATTGGTTGAATTTACTTGATATGGTTTTTCTACCCAAAGTGGTCTTAATTCCCAACAAGTGATTGGGTGTGACCACATAAATAAGGTGTACAGGAGTCCTGGTATAGTGTTATAGGTTAATATGCTGGACTGCAAGGTCAGTTTGAATCATGAGGTTGGCAGTTCAAACTTACCAGTTGCTCCTCAGAAACCCTATACAGGGTCACTATGGACCAGAAATGACTCGACGGCACTTAACAACAACAATAAGGCTGGGATTGATTAGTTTTGGCTTCCTGCTAGGTTTAAAACGAGCAGCCTCAGAAGCAGAGATGAAAGATCCCAGGAACATCAAGAAGGAAGAGCATGAGTGAAGTGTGAGATCTCTACCTCAAGAAATAGCGACAGCTGAGGCAGTGGCATGGAGAGACAGAGCAGCTTCAGCTGAGTAAAATTTTGTGCCTACAGGCAGGAGACCAGCTTGCAGAGTGTGCCCTTTGGGAATTCACACACTGACTAAAAAAAGAACTTTATAACCCCAGGCTTGAGCAGGGCAGAGAACAAGGAACCATATGACTGCGAGGCTGAAGACAAGATTGAGGCATGCCTGCAGAATGTCAGACAAGAGGTATTCCTGACTGGAGAACAGCCATGTCCTAAGCTGGTTTTGAATCATGTCCTATTCACTATCCTAATAAATCCCATAATCATGAGTATTGTTAGGAGTTCTGTGTGGCCATTACAAGAGATTATAGAACCCAGCTGTGAAACAGAGAGTGCTGTGGGATGGATAGTTGATGTCAGAATAGGCTAAAGATGGTTGTAGGATGGAAGTATGTCTGACCTCTGCTTCATAAAAATTGACCTTGGGCTTACCAATAGCAGCCTCTGCTCTACCATGAACCTTTCCTTCTTGTTCCTCTTTGGATGTCTTGGACTTGTCTGTCTTAGTTCTCTTCTTTCTCTTGACTTTGTCAGTCAGTTCCCTCTCCTACAGGTAAGGAAATAAAAGTTTTTGTAAAGAAAACAGAAATCTTCACCACTGAACCAATAAGCAACATCCATACAAATGGAGAGAAGAATGAAGTTGTCAAAGACTTCATTTTGCTCGAATCAACCATCAACATTCATGGAAGCAGCAGTCAAGAAATCAAATGACGTATTGCATTAGGCAAATCTGCTGCACAAGACCTCTTTAAAGTGTTGAAGAGCAAAGATGTCAGTTTGAGGACTGAAGTGCGCCTGACCCAAGCCATGGTATTTTCAATAACCTCAAATGCATGTGAAAGTTGGTCAGTGAATAAGAAAGATCGTAGAAGAATTGATGCATGTGAGTTATGGTGTTGGAGGACAATATTGAAAGTACTATGGACTGTCAAAAGAACAAACAGATCTGTGTTGGAAGAAGTACAGCCAGAATGCTCCTTGGAAGCCAGAATGGTCAGACTTCGTCTTTCATATTTCAGACATATTAGCAGGAGGGACCAGTCCCTAGAGAAGGATATTATGTTTGGTAGAGTGGAGGGTTGGATAAAATGAGAAAGATCCCCAGGGAGATGGATTGACACAGTGACAATAGCAATGGGATCAGGCAATTGTAGCAATGATTGTGAGTTTGGCGCAGGACCAGGCGATGTTTTGTTCTGTTTTGCTTAGGGTTGCTATGTATTGGTACTGACTTGATGGCACCTAACAACAGCAACAACAACAGGTGAGAAATTAAGGATAGGGACTGTGATACATGTAGGAAATGAAAAAACTCATCAAAGGAAGATTATGTTGAATAAGGTAACTAAGTGGAATTCAACATCTTGTTCTAGATGAAGCAGAAGAGTGAGGCGTTAGAGTGAGGGATCATTAGGGAAAGACTAGGATTCAACCTTTGATTGGAAACTGCTAAGTATATTTTCACAGGAGAAAAGAGGAATTGAATACACTTTATAGCCCACCTCCTTTTTTTTTTTTTTTTTTTCTGATGCTAAACCTTGGTCTCCAGAGCTGGATCAAAGAGAAGCAGTTTTCACCTTTAATTGATGGGGTTACCATGATTAATGATCAGCTACTTTAAATCAAAGCCAGCTTTATTCAGTGCTGCATTATTTTGCTAACTTTCTGGAAACTTCAGATAGATGATCCCAGGTATTTCGGCTTTTATCTGTCCCTAAGGGACAGGATGGCAGAGTGGGCCCATGGCTACCCATTCAGTACCTTTGTAGGAATTAGAAATGGGCCTCCCATTCTTCAAGTGGATGTGACTCATCTTTGAGTACAGGGCATGGTGAGCAGACCACAGACTGGATTTCAGTCCCCATGTGCCTTTTCTCTCCATAACTGTACCTGGTAGTCTTGATGGTAAGCATGATCCAGATTGGACTTTCAGACCAAGCTCCTAGGTATTTACACTTACAATACTGATGCTGGTTGGTGTCTGCTGGTTGAATAATCTTGTTTCAGCCTTCCTTTCTCTTTCTGCTGAAAGAAGAGATGCATCCACAGTATCCAATCTCTCTTGTGACCCAGACCCATGTCCCTGAAGTCCTCTGTGCAGGTGGTATATGTCATTCTCTCTGCCCCTTTGAAAAGAGCAAACCGATAGGACCAAACTCAGGAGAAAACTCTCTGGTAGACAAGGAGGAAGGAAAGTGAACCCACATTGATGAAGTGCCTGTTCTGTGCCAGGCCCTGTGTAGACAATTTCCATACTTGTTCAATATTTTTTTTCTCAACGTGCCTCTGAATAAAGGAGATTAGAAAGATTGGTCTTCACTTTTGAGGTTCTCTTGGGGGGTAAATCCTAAAACTCAGAGACTGCGGTAAGTCCTAGCTTGTTTCTTTAGGGTTATATATTTATACTTTGAATTGAATAACAGAATTATTTAATTGAAATTTCTTGCATCAAAGGTTTAGCTGGAAAAAGAAAAAAGACATTTAGGAAACAGTCTTGGGAATATGCACTCATCCATTCCTGTATACCCTATGAATTCTATTGATCAGATCAAGTCATCAAAAGGTCATGTGGTATGGTAGTTTTATCCCTTGAAGAATTACTGTCACAGACTGAGCCCTGAGGCTAGCTGACTTATGCCCTCCAGGTAAAAAGCCTACTAACCAACAGTCAGGTGTATTTCAGAAACTGCAGCAGCGGCAACTACTAGGTACTGAGTGCCTACGGTCTGCCATGCCTGATTCCAGGCATTTAATTTCTTTGCTAAGTCAGTAGTATATTTACTGTACTATGCTAGCATAAGGCCTTACTGTAGAAACTTGAGAAATAGTTGTTGAATGAGGTAAATGGAATTTCTTGTAAATATATGAGTCTTTAAATCATTCAGTGTCACTCTATAAAAACCCACAGAAGTATCCTTAGTGATAGAAAAAACCCTTTATTTCCCCTGAGAAACAGGTGTGCTGCAAAGGAGACCCTCAGAACTGATCATGTTGCTCTTTTGCTCCTTTGTGTGTGTGTATGTTTTCATCATTCAGGAATCCGTGCCTACTATAAACTTCAGTTACAATGACTATAATGACTCTTTGGAATGCTTGTGTTTTTTTCTTTTTGGTTCATAATTTAAAAAAGTCTTTAAAATGATTTAATCTCTTTAGTTTATTATTACTTGTGAAATTGTTGTGGAAGGGATGAAGCATTTTGCTCAGCCATCCAAGTACACTTCTCCAGGGTTGGATTCCTCAGTATACAAAACGTACACACAAGGAATTCTGGTGGTGCTATGGGTTAGGCATTGCACTGTTAACCACTAAGGTCTGTGGTTCAAACCCAGCAGTCATCCTGTGGGAGAAAGATCAGGCTGTCTGCTTCAATGTGGGACTTGAAAACCCTATATTGAGTCACTGTGAGTTAGCATCACCTCAAAGGCAGTGGATTTGATTGGGAAACACGGGCTTACTTGTAGCGAACAATTTTACATAGTGTGATCGTTAAGGTTTTGTGTCAACTTGACTGGGCCAGGATATAGCAGAGCTGTAGCTATTCCCCATAACGAGATCTAATATAATGTTATGAACTCTATGCTGAGGTCTGCTCTGAGCAGCCAATCAACTAAAAGGATATTTCCAATGTAGACACTCAGACAAAGATTGCTTGCTTTCTTCTGTGTCTGGATCTTGCATCTGGCGTCCTCCAATCTCTGATTCTCTGGACTTCTTGCCTGCCTGCTTGTCTGACCTGCTGATCTTGGTTTATCTGCTGACTTGGTTCATCCAGACTTGGAACTTTCCCACTTGTACAACTGTGTGAGCAATTTCCTTGACAGAAACGTCTCTCTATATACATATATAAGTTTCATCGGTTTTGCTTCTCTAGAGATAATTTCATACGGTAAAAAGCATTAGTAAGCACAAGTAAGTCATTGTTCACCTTCCTTATTGTGTAATCTGACACTGCACTTCTCCCTTTGTTCCTGGAGGAACAATGGCCTTTTGACTCATGAGGGGATCTTTAGGCAGCAGGGCAGGAGGGGCCATTCTCTTACCAAATTGTTAGGTGCCATGAAGTGGATTCTGACTCACAGTGACACTGTATGACCGAGTAGAACTGCCCCGTAGGGTTTCTTAGGCTGTACTCTTTACAGGAGCAGATTAGCAGGACTTTTCTCCTGTGGAGCTGCTTGTGAGTTCTAACCACTGACCTTTTGGTTAGCAGCACTTAACCAGTGTGTCGCTAGGGCTCCTCAAAATTCATGGGAGATCACAATTGACAATGGTTCAAGGTTTGAGGCAGACAACAGCACCAGCTGCTATTGCCAAAGAGGGCTTGTATCATTAGAGCCTGACTGAGCCAGGGGAGTCAATGAGCTAAGATATACTAAACAGGCCTGGTGCATAGTAAGCCCTCAATGGAAGTTAGCAATGCATCTGCTGAGAGGAGAACCCATGGCTTGAGTTGACAGAACTCAGTTTTTTAGGCATTTCTGAAGGTCTCAGATATATGGACAAATGGGGAAAAAAAGGTACTTCCATATTGTTACAGTTGGTGGTTATGTGCCGTGGAGTCAGTTCTGACTCATACCGACCCTGTACAGGGTTTCTGAGGCTATAAATCTTTACGGGAGCAGAAAGCCTCATCTTTTTCCCATGGAACAGCTGGTAGTTTCAAACTGCTGACCTTGCAGTTCGCAACCACTATGCTACCAGAGCTCCTTCCAGTGAAGTCTTACAGTGAAGACTAACTGGAACTCTGTTACAGTTAGTCTTTACTTTTTAACCCATCCAGACAAAGCATTACATAGCAATATAATCTTCCTCAAGAATCTTTGTTTCTTAGACAACAACTTAATTCCAGCTGCCAGAGTATATGTCTCCCAGAAAAAAACCAAAAACAAAAAATCAAACCAACAGAAATTAATTAAAAGCAAAATAAAAGTGAAGAAGGCTACATACTTACCCCTTTGGGACAGAATGTGGCTCAGGGGTTGGGGAGGTGTTGAAAGGGCTAAGGGTCATGCTCCTTGATTCTGAATCTGTGAAAACAAAGGGCATCCTCAATCAGCAAAAGAACCAGGCACTTATCACTGGAGGAGAAGCAAGCATGGGAAAATGTCTACTAGTTCAAATGAAAATGATGGGGTATACTATACCTAGAAGTGAGCGAAGACGGCAGAAATCAGGGCATGCACACAGCAAGTAACATGGAAACTAGTGACACTTTGGGAAAGCAATAGGACAGAACGTATCGAGAGCTAGAAAAATATCCCTAAGCCTTTGATCAAGAATCCTACTACTGAATATTGATCAGAAGGAAATAACTAAAACGAAGAAACAAACTTTTTGTACCAGCTTATTTATGATAACACTATGGATAATAGTAATAATAAATAGATAAGATCCAATAACGAAAGCCAGAGGAAGTAATTTATGATACATTACTTTGATATGAAATATTATGTTAAGAATAATAAGCAACATAGAAAATAGGGGCTGATAAGTAAAAATGTTAACTATAGAGCAGTGTGCTGTTGTTGTTGTTAAGTGTCGTTGACTTAGTTTCTATTCATAGCAACCCTTTATAAGGTTTCCGAGGAGCAGCTGGTGGATTTGAACTGCTGACCTTGCAATTAGAATCCCAGTGCTTATCCTACAGTGCCACACCAAGGCTCCAAAACAGTGTGTTAGAACTCAGTAAAATATGTATTGTAGATAAAAAAGAACCAGAAGAAAAAAAGAAAATAATATTATAAGATGTTTATATGTATAAATACTTTGTAAAAACCCAGTATGATTATAACAGATTGATTAAACACAAAAACAAAACAAACTCCCAAATGTCACTGTCTGAGGAAGGGTCAAGGAGGCCACATGATGGGTGCTGTTCTGACCAGATTAGGTAACTCATTAAGAATGAGAAAGGTCATAGATGCTTGCTTGCAGTCAATTTCATACTGTAACTTTAAAGGAGTTTAAAAGTTCACCTATTGTTCATTAGCATTTTTCTTTTACCACTCACTGCTATTGAATCAATTTCAACTCATAGTGACTCTCTAGGACAGAACAGGACTACCCTACAGGGTTTGTGAGACTGCACATCGTTACAGAAGCTGACTGCCACATCTTTCTTCCACAGAGTGGCTGGTGGGTTCCAGTTGTGACCTTTCAATTAGCCAAGGGCTTACCTCGGGTCCTTGGTGTGGCGCTGTAGTATAAACACTTGACTTTAAGGTTGGTTTGAACAGCAAGATCAGTGGTTCAGACTCATTAGTTGCTCCTCGGAAACCTCATTGGAACCAACTCAATGGCATACAACAAGAAGGCTTACCCCATGATACCACCAGTGTTCCTTATTCCTTTAATAATACAGTTCATTCATTTTTCAGTGTTCAATTAATTATTTTTCCGAGTCCCTTTTCAACTTGAATTCCCTTTTTCCATTCCCAAGCTTTAAGGTTAGTATCCACAATTTCAAAGTCGAACTCCAGATTTTGGAATGGCTACAAAATTGCTAATGTGAAAAATGCATTGCAGGTTAAAATTTCTTTGTGATAAGAAGAATTCTGTGAAGTTTTCTTTCCTTCATATTGAGGATCAGGAAAAGTTGTCTCTGACATATATGATTTTGAACTTTGGAACAGGGCATGACAGTACCAGTAGAGGGCGCATTTGTATTGCTCAAAAACTAAGGCTCTACATTTGTATAATTTCACCATTTTGATTAGCATCGAATCCTTGTCAGCTCTGTCATGTGGACCATGGAAGGATGATTTTTCTTCCCCCCTAGTAAAATAACCTGATATTTAGGAAGTATTGGAACAAACTAAGGTAGTCCTTTGAATAATAACTTATATCTTTTAACTGCTTTTAAAATCTATAAAATATTAGAAGCATATTGTGGTTATCTGCAATGGAATCGGTTCCGACTCATAGCCACCCTGTACAGAGTTTCCGAGGCTGTAAATCTTTATGGGAACAGAAAGCCTCATCTTTCTCCCGCAGAACAGCTGGTAGTTTTGAACTGTTATCCTTGAGGTTAGCAGCCCGATTTCTAACCACTATGCTACATACTTTATAATGATCATCCATGTATTTACATCTCACTTGGTAAAATGTTAGTATTTTGACACATCACAATCACATTTTCTTCTAAAGAAATAAAGCATTTCAGATACAGTCCAAGCCTTCATTGTTTCACTCACTATTCCATCCCATTTCCCTCACTCTTGCCCCAGAGGTAACTGCTATGTTATATTTTGTGTTTGTCAGTCTTCATGCATAGAAATGCACCCATAAACAACACATGATGCTGTGTGGCACTGTGGGTTAGTGCGCTGGACTACAAGGTTTGTTTGAACCCAAGGTCATCGGTTCAAGCACACCAGCCGATCCTCGGAAACCCTGTATACAGGGTCACTATGAATCAGAACCATCTCTGCGGCACTTAGTAAAAACAACAAACTTTATTTGGGGAGCCCTGGTGGTTCAATGGTGGTGGTTGTTGTTATTTACAGGCTACAAGTTGGTTCCAACCTGTATAGTATTTCTGAGAAGTGGCGGGTGGATTTGAACCCCCTGCCTTGCAGTTCAAACTGACCTTGGGGTTTATCCTAGAGTGTCACATCAGGACTCAGTGGTTATAAATGGTATAATTTAGGGAACTTTGTAACTTGCTTTATTTTCCTTAGCACTGTACTTTTAAGGTTAATCCATATTAATCTATATAGCTTTTAGTCACTGATTTCAAGCTGTTGTGAAATATTTCATTGTATGAACATACTATGATTTATTCTTTTTACTGCTGACTATTTCGGATTTTTAATAATTACAAACAATGCTGCAATGAATCTTCTTAGGTGAGTCCTGTTCATACTTGCAAATGTTTTCTAAGGTATACCTGGGAGTGGAATTGTTGGATTGCAGAATTTATGCATCCTAAATTTTGTGGCTATTTCCAAATTGTTTTGAATATTTGGTACTTTGTATCCTCATCAAGAATGGGTGCTTACAGATTTTGAAACGGTTGCAATTTTGTATTTGATAAATGATATTTCTTTGCTGTTTTAAGTTGAATTTTCCCGATGAGAAGCAAGGTTGAACTTTTTTTTATGTATGGCCATTTATTTGAGTTTCTTTTTCAGTTAATTACATGTTTACATATTTTGCCTGTTTTTCTTTTGGGTTGGTTGTCTTTTTTTCTTACCTATTTATAGACTTTCTCATTGTATTTTACATATTAATTCTTTGTGGGTTATAGACATGGCTCTTAGCTTCTTCCGATCTGTGGTTTGTCTTTCAACTCTGTTTATGCTGTCTTGTTGAAAATTAAAATTTTTAGTACTGTCAGATTTATCAGTAATTTTCATTAAAGTTTGTGTTTTTGAATCATGGGTAAGAAAAATGTCCCTTTCTCAACTTCATAAAGATTGTCTCCTATATTTTCTATCAAAGGTTTTAAGGTTTTGCTTTTCACATTTAGGTCCTGAACACACTTGACATTTGCTTCATATATTTTGTGAGGTAAGAATTTGAAAACTGGATAACCAGTTTTCTAAAAAAGACATAGTAAATAATAGCTCCTCATTTCCCTAGTGTTTTATAATGTCACTTTCATTGTATACCAAGTTTCTACATACTGGTACATTTATTTCTGAATTCTCTATTTTCTTCTGTCTGCCTCATTTATGGCACTTACCAATTACAACAAAGTGATGTTGGATATCTGGCAGGGACAGCTCTTCCACTTTTTATTTCTTTAAACTTTTATTGGCTAATTTTGGTCTTTCTATATGAGTTTGGGGTCCTGGTATGATGCTGTAGGATAAGCACTGGACTGTTAACCGCAAGGTCAGTGGTTCAAACCCACCAGTCACTCCTTGGAAATCCAATATAGAGTCTTTATGAACCAGAACTGACTTAACAGCACTTAACAACAACAAACCATCTTTATGATACTGAATCTTTCTATCTGTGAACATTAAATAAGGCATGATATAAAACATTTTATTCATTCAGGTTTACTTTTATTTATTTTAATAACATTTTATCATTTCTTCACCCATCTTTTGTTATATTTATTATTGCTGCTGTTGTTGAGTGCCATCAAGTTGATTCTGACTTGTAGTGACCCCATGTGACAGGGTAGAATTACCCTATAGGATTTTCTTGGTTGTAATAAAATAAAATAAAAACTTTTTATTGTGAATTGAGTTATCATCAGTTGCACATTCAACAAATCATATACTTCATTTCCTTTCAAAGATTGCGATCCCACTTCCTTCCTGTGATTCTTGTTTCCATTCTTATATGTTAACAAGGACGTCATTCTTTTTGGATCAACTATCAACACTCAGGGAAGAAGCAGTCAAGAAATCAAACAACATATTGCATTAGGCAAATCTGCTGCACAAGACCTTTTTAAAGCGTTGAAGAGCAAAAATGTCAGCTTGAGGACTAGGTGGGCCTGACCCAAGCCATGGTATTTTTAATAATCTCATATGCATACAAAACCTGGACAGTGAATAAGGAAGACTGTAGAAGAATTGATACTTTTGAGTTATGGTGTTGGAGGAGAATATTAAAAGTGCTATGGGCTGCCCATAGATCAATAGATCTGAGTTGGAAGAAGTGCAGCCGAAGTGCTTCTTGGAGGCCAAGATGACCAAATTTCGTCTCTCATACTTCGGACATATTGTCAGGAGGGACCAGTCACTGGAGAAGGATATCCTGTTTGGTAAGGTGGAGGATCAGCGAAATAGAGGAAGACCCCCAATGAGATGGATTGGCCAAGTGGCAGCATCGATGGACTCAAGCATGGCAATAGTAGTGAGGTTGACCCAGGATGGGGCAGTGTTTCGTTTTGATGTGCATAAGGTTGCTATGAGTCGGTACCAACTCAATGGCAGCTAACAACAACAAATACTCTACCACATTCATGGATATGTTAGCAGCAAAGATAAAAATACACATGTACAAATATATTTTGTCAAACCTTTATGAATTTTTAGGCATATTTCATTCTCCCTCCCACACCCTT